TTTTTTTCTTCTTTCTTTCTTTGTATTTTCTTACTTCCTTTTGTTTTGTTTTGCTATTTCTTACAAATGGGACACAGAGAATCACAGAGAGAGAGAGAGAGAGAGAGAGAGAGAGAGAGAGAGAGAGAGTACACTACTGCGGACCACGAACACATTGAACGAGGTACATGAGTGTGATTTTGGCCCGCAGTAGCGAACTCCATACTTTTTTGTTTTGGCGGACGGTTCTTTCTTTCTTTGTTTCTAGCGTCCCTCTCTCTCTCTCTCTCTCCATTATTTCTTTCCTGCGTCTCTATCTCTCTCGCTCCCTTATTCCGACAGATGCGTTTGAAAAAAATGGTATGCTTTGTATTTCTTAAGTTGTGTTGTCCAGTGTTATATCGAGTCATGTACGGGGGAAACACAAATGTACAGTAATAAATAACTATGTATGTTGCCACGTACATATAGCCAATCTTTGGTAGGCGCCCGCTGACAACGACTATGGAAGAAGTGAGGCCCTGTCTCTGCCCCTATCTCTCTCTCTCTCTCTCTCTCTTTGTATATTTCTCTGTATGTACATATGTTTCCAGATGTCAAGATTGGTCAAAACCGGATAGAAGAGAAGGTCAGGCGAAGAGTGTGATGCAACAGCGGATCACTTTCTACTACTGGAGGCCAAAGAATAGAAGACGACTGAGATGTCCCGGAACTGGGGTCAGATAGTAGAGAAGCAGCGAGAACATATAGACAGGCTAACAGACGAGGTACACAAGAAGAAATAATTGGTGAGACAGATGTCAGGCGAACTAGGCCGTATTAAGTGACAGCTCGTAGAAATGACAGAAACTGAGGAACATAGGATGTTCACCGTGTTTTGGTTGTTACTTTCCGATCCAAAGTGTTTAGACATAACTCGTCTGAGGGAGGACATGACTGCTAGACTGAAGGCAATAGCCGAAACGAAGACCACCACGTTTGACGAGTTCCAGACATGGTTGGATGGAGAAAAGCGCAGGCACACCGCGGTCTTGAATCGGTTCGCCGCCCACTTCGCAAAGGGAACTCACAAGGAATCACAAGGACTTGATGTCGCATCTTGTGGCAGTCATGAGAAGTGTGTGCTGAAGGAGGGGTGGGCATCGTATGATACCCAAGAATATAATACGAGTTCGCTAACTACTTTGTCACGCAGTGTCGTCGACCTCTTGGCCTTCGCAGCAGACTGTATTCGCCACTTTAAGGAAATCGTAGATGAGTACGGTCTCTGTGATGAGGGTGTCGCGACTGGTAAGGATGACCTTCATTGCAATATGACGTCTCTGATGAACAGTTGCTCGGACGTCATGGATGCCCTGCAACACATACGAGGTAGGTTGTTGGCTGGGGAAATGACGGTGACTTGTGTGAACGAAGTTGTCATGGGAAGTGCAGAAGGTGAAAGGACGAAGGCAGGTGAAGAACTGGACACAACAATGCAAACCTCCAGAGGAATTGGGACCACTGTCGGGGACTGCGCGCCTGTGCCGCATGCCCTGCTGGCGTGCACCGATGTTGCCGCACTGAATTGTCACCACGTTCGTCACAACTTCCCATGTGTCGTCGCTAGCAAAGCACCTTGTGCTGATGCAAAATTTGTTGTGCTGCCTATGACGACGAACACATTTCAAAAGTTCGTTGCAAAAGCGAATTCGCTACAAATGGCGAGGCTGGTTGCGGACCGTCTGTCCCATCTCATATCGTATATCAAAGAGATAATGGTACAAGTCGTAACGAACGCAGGCCAGCATGGAGGGAATAACGAATGTCAGCATTGCAGGAAAGGACTTCACAACAACGACCGCTTAAAAACTCTCTACACAAGATGTCAAATCATGGCTGCGCGGGCGGTCAGGGACGCATGATTTCTCTCTCTCTGTCTCTGTCTCTCTCTCTCTCTCTCTCTCTCTCTCTCTCTCTCACACACACACACACACACACACACACACACACACACACTATTATGTATGTTTATTGCTGCCTGTATTATAACTTCTTTGTCCACACTTTTTCTGTCTATAATGTTCGCTGCCTTTTTCCGTATTGACATACTTGTGGTTCACTACTGCGTGCCATATCAGTGTCCACCGCTGCTGTTTGGTGTCGTTCTGGCCCACAGTAGTGAACCGCTCTCTATCGCGCATGAGATGTTTGTTGGAGTTCTGACCCGCAGTAATGAACCTCTTGTTGTCGCTGCATCTTTGCGTTTCTAACTACTTGTTGTTCACTACTGCGTGCCATATCAGTGTCAACCGGTACTATTTGTTGTCGTTCTGGCCCGCAGTAGTGAACCGCTCTGTGTCGCTGCATTTTTGCCTGTCCAAGAGCACGAGGTTCACTACTCCGGGCCAATGTCTGTCGCGCATGATGTGTTTGTTGAAGTTCTGGCCCGCAGTAGTGAACCTCTCGATGTCGTTGCATCTTTGCGTTTCCAACTACTTGTCATTCACTACTGCGTGTCATATCAGTGTCAACCGGTGCTGTTTGTTGTCGTTCTGGCCCGCAGTAGTGAACCGCTCTCTGTCGCTGCATCTTTGCCTGTCCAACAGCACGAGGTTCACTACTGCGGGTCAATGTCTGTCTCGCATTAGATGTTGTTGGAGTTCTGACCCACAGTAGTCAACCTCTCGCTGGTGTTTTCCGCTTTGCGTTTCCAACTACTTGTGGTTCACTACTGCGTGCCATATCAGTGTCAACCGGTGCTGTTTGTTGTCGTTCTGGCCCACAGTAGTGAACCCCTGTATGTCGCTGCGTCTTTCCCTGTCCAACAGCATGAGGTTCACTACTGCGGGCCAATGTTTGTCTCGCATGAGATGTTTGTTGGAGTTCTGGCCCGCAGTAGTGAACCTCTTGCAGGTGCTGCATCTTTGCGTTTCCAACTACTTGTGGTTCACTACTGCATGCCATATCAGTGTCAACCGGTGCTGTTTGTTGTCGTTCTGGCCCGCAGTAGTGAACTGCTCTCTGTCGCTGCGTCTTTTCCTGTTCAACAACATGAGGTTCACTACTGCGGGCCAATGTTTGTCTCGCATGAGATGTTTGTTAGAGTTCTGGGCCGCAGTAGTGAACCTCTCGCTGGTGCTGCATCTTTGCGTTTCCAACTACTTGTGCTTCACTACTGTGTGCCATATCAGTGTCCTCTGGTGCTGTTTGTTGTCGTTTTGGCCCGCAGTAGTGAACTGCTCTCTGTCGCTGCGTCTTTCCCTGTCCAACAGCATGAGGTTCACTACTGCGGTCGAATGTCTATCTCGCATGAGATGTTTGTTGGAGTTCTGGCCCGCAGTAGTGAACCTCTCTCTCTCTTTCTCTCTCACGCACACATACATACAAACAATGATATGTGTTTAAGTGTTGCTTGTATTATTACTTCTTGCTTAGAGTAAATTTATGTCCATAATGTTTGCTACTTTTTGCCTCAGGACACACAAGTGGTTCACTACTGCGTTCCATATCAGTGTCCACCAGTGCTGTTTGTTGTCCTTCTGGCCTGCACTAGTGAACCTACCTCTGTCGCTGATCTCTCTCTCTCTCTCTGTCGGGTGAGGGGGCCATGTCGCAGCTACGTGTTCTCATAAATGTATGTGGTGTCTCATGCAATAGATGGAACCCGCGATTGCATCGACTGTCAACGGTGGAGAGACATGCGCCATGGAGACGGAGGACATTCTGAAGGGTTTTGCAGATGGCAGCAAGGAAGGGAATTCGGCTGGAGGGAACACCGCAGACTGTGCAGAGGTGCTTGCGACAATATATGCACAGACTGCAGAGATTATGGGTGATGGTGATGAAACAGAGAATGGCGCAGGAGGGAGCACTTGTGAGACGGAAAAGGTTGGGGAAGAGAGAGAGGAGGGAGGTCTGGGAAGCAAGGAATCTCAGACAGGTTGTATTGTGAAAGATGAAAATGTGGTGAAGACATCAGCAGGAGAAGAGTACCCATATGACATCAATTGGGTGTCGGGTCGTGTTCAACCGGGTATTGTTGGAGGAGCACCCTGCTTTTCGTCCAAGGTCGATGAGACATGGGTTCCATTTCCTGGCCCCAAAATGAATACATGGCGAAACGTAACTCTGTCAATCGTGTTTGACAGAGTATAAAGGTTGAACGATGAGGCAACACCACAGGAGAAAGGGCGATATGAATTGAAAATGTGGCGTGTTCTGGAGGCGCAGGGCGAGTTCAGGCTGAACGATTTTTTGTATGACAGTTTTGATTGCGAACAGTCATGGGTGATTGGTGGGAACGACGCAACAGGGAGTACGGCTTGCCACGAGACCGATGCGAGGAGGGATCCTAGGTTGGGTTGGGTGCCATGTGCGATCCCGATTCCATGTGGCCGTATGAGGATGATGATGCGTGATGCCATGGGAAATGTCATGAGCACGCATTATGTGAATGGCAACTTCTCCTTCAGGAACCTCGACAGGGAGGTCTCAGAAGACGAGAAAAAGGCAATGGCATGTCCTACCCATACTGCTGGCTGCTTTTTCCCGCCGCTTCGGAACCCTATGGAGTTGGAGGTGGTTGAAGGGAAAGTGTTCAGTGGTGAGGATGGCAGCACATACACGCATGCAAGAGGGCAGGAAGCCGCATATGATGGACAATGCTCGCAGATATGGGACCATGTCACAATGAGGAGTGACGTTTTGTCTGCCATGGACATTGGGGCCCATGTCATCCCTGAAGGACAGTTGCAGCAGCATATGGCCCCTGAAAAGTATGGCTATCGTGTCAATTGGGTCCCATGATGTTTGCATCCTGCAGTGGTTGATGCCAAGGTGACGATGGCAACAAGACTGCAATCAGTGCATTGGCTCCCATTGGGATGGATGCATGCAGGCATTGTGGAGCATTTGCAGTTCCTCGTGGTTCTAGCATGTGTCTCAATTTTCAATGTAAATGTAAAGGACCACGTGCTGGTTGTTGAACATGCAAAGCGCTGCTGGGAGAAGATAAAAGAGGAGGAGCGTCAGATGGTGTGCGCGCGTTATGACTCCATGGCTGGCCAGGGGATGTGGTCCATGGTTCAGGGGAGTCGTACAGGCCAAGAGAAGAGCGACGGTCAGAACAGATACATGGCTCACATTCGCCGCAGGCACGGTTGCACGACCGTTCTTGGTTGGGTCCCGGTCGTATGTCCCATGATATATGACCATGGTGGAGACGTCACCATGAGATTCAGAGACCCGCTTGGTGTGCCTTTCCATCTGACCTACTCAGATGGACTCCTGCGTGACATTCGGTATCTGGCGGAGAATGACTTGGCAGGTTCAGTGCAGCCAGGCAAGAGGACAGAGAAGCGCTCATAAATTTCCCGTTTGTCTGCTGAGGTGGAGGGCCCATGTGGTCCTCGTCGCGTCGGGGGGTGCTCTGCAGCACAGGGTGACATGAGCGGCCTGAGCGATGTCGCGATGTCGCAGAGCCCGGGGAAGATGAAGAAGTGCACGTCGGGACCGCCATGTGGGCAGACACCCGCAGGCAGAAAGAAGGTGAACCCCAAGGCAGTGCCAGCGACCGGAGACACCGCATGTGCACAAACTCAGGTCTCCAGACGCCGTCGACGCCCCGGGATGGCAACTTTGGCGGAAATCAGAAAGTTTCAACGATCCACCGACCTTGGCTTGGCTTTCGGGCCGTTCTTGCGACTCGTGCGCAAGGTTGTGGAGGAAAATATTGCTCCGGGTATGGGCGTGAGGTTTCAGATGACGGCGGTGCGTGCTTTGATGGAGGCTGCCGAGGCGTACCTGGCTGTCAATTTCGAGAACACCAACGAGGTGGCCATCCATTCAAAGAGGGTGACAATCCAGGTCAAGGACATGAGACTGGTGGATAGGTTGTCGAAGCCTCGCTCGGTTGAGAAATATCAAGGTATGTTGGACGAGAAGGCGAGAGTTGAGGAGAGACAGCAATGGATAGAGGCCAGACAGGCGGAAAGGGATGGCAGCAGAGCAGGGTCGAAGAAGAGGAAAGCAGTGCCACGTGAGGGGGGCGCGCAAAAAAAAAGGCAGCTTGAAAATTCTATTGTGTGTGTTGCATAACGGTTGTCCTGTCGAATCGTGGACTCCGTGGAAGTTTCCGTGGTGTTAGGTCGGTTGATTAGTTGGAGAGAGAGAGAGAGAGAGAGAGAGAGAGAGAGAGAGAGAGAGAGATCAGGTTCACTAGTGGGGGACATAAAGGTATTGAAGGACGACTCTGTCGCTGATTTTGGCCCGTAGTAGTGAACCCCATATATTTTTGTTTTTTTCTTATTCTCCTTTCTTTTTTTCTTACTTTGTTTCTTTTTTTTTCTCATTTTCATTTTCTTCTTCTTCCTTTCTTCGAGTTTCTTTCTTTCTTTCTTTCTTTCTGAATGATTGACATTTCGGTGGGCTCCAACGGCGGAACCTGTCAGCAGTTGTCTCTACTTTCGTAATCCTAGGCCTTTCAGCCTTGAAGTTTTTTTTCGTTTCCGCCCTTCTGAAGACTCGTAGGCACCCGGAGGTCTATCTGATGTGTGTTCTAGCCTTCGGTTCACTTACTGTAGGTTTCCATGTAAATGCATGTACTTTGGATCTTTACCAAAATGCGCTCATAGATGTTTGTCGTTTGGACGGTTATGTAGGTCTGTAGGTGCGTGGTGCGTTGTACGTCTAGGGAAGTTGGGTACAACTAGGCCAGTCATTGAATTAGGGGTTGTAGTCATTGTTTTTCTTACCACGGGCTTGGTGGAGGTCCCATTGTCTGTCTGTTCTGTTGTTGTGGATATGTACGCAAACCATCACAGTATCCCTATGTGAGTGTACACTAAGTGTGTTTGTTGTTTCCTTTCTCTGGCTCTACATTATTTCATCGAGTGACCTGTAATTTATATGCTTGGTTTGTTAGCATCGACCCCTCTTCTCCCTCTTCCACGTCTGCACGCGCTTCTCTCTTTCCTACCCTCTGTCTGTCTGTCTGTTCTCTGTTGCGGTCCTGACCAATTTCGGAGTGTATAATCGACAGAAAGTTCAATGGCGTCCAATTGCAAAAAGAAATGTTTAAACATCAGGGGAGAGAAAAAAAAAAAGATGATTACGAATCCTGCTTCCTCCCCTCTTATTCGAACAAGAAAGAACAATAATAATGTTGAATGGATGAACATCATCTATGTTGCATTGACGAATCTCTACCGCAGGAAGAAATCCGCATAGGTCAAAGATATGCATGGACAACACAAAGCAGTTATGTGGTCTGTCTGCTCTGTCTGTCGTGTCTGTCTGTCCATCTGTCTGTCGGTCTGCTCTAGTTTGTATGTCTGTATGTCTGTCCGTTCGTCTGTCTATTTGACAGTTTATCTGTCTGTCGCCTTCTCTGGTCAGTCGGTCTGTCAGTCAGTCAGTAAGTTTGTCTGTCTGTTTGTCCGTCTGTTTGTTTGTCTGTCTGTCTGTCTGTCTATCTGTCTGCCTGTGTGTCTGTGTGCCTGTCTGTCTGTCTCTTTCTTTCTTTATCTTACTTTCTCTTTCGTTCTTTCTTTCTTTCTTTGTCTAACATTTTTTTTTTTTGTTTTTTTTTTTCCTTTAGTTTTTTCTTTCTTTCTTTCTTTCTTTCTCTTTCTTTCTCTTCCTTTCTCTTTCTTTCTTTCTCCTTCTTTCTGGTTCTTTCTTTCTTTCTTTCTCTTTTTTTCTTTTTTTTCTTTTTTTCTTTTTTTTTTCTTTTTTTTTTTTCTTTTTTTCTGTCTGTCTGTCTGTCTGTCTGTCTGTCTGTCTATCTGTCTGTCTGTCTGTCTGTCTGTCTGTCTGTCTGCGTGTCTATCTGTCTCCTATTCTGTCTGTCCATCTGTCTGTCTGTCTATCTGTCTGTGTGTCTGTCTGTCTCCTAGTCTGTGTGTCTGTTTGTCTGTCTATGTGTCTGTCTGTCTGTCTGTCTGTCTGTCTGTCTGTCTGTCTGTCTGTCTGTCAGTCAGTCTCTTAGTCTGTCTATCTGTTTGTCTGTCTGTATGTCTATCTGTCTGTTTGTCTGTCCATCTGTCTGTCTATCTGTCTGTGTGTCTGTGTGTCTGTGTGTCTGTCTGTCTGTGTGTCTGTGTGTCTGTGTGTCTGTGTGTCTGTCTGTCCGTCTGTCTGTCTGTCTATCTTTCTGTCTGTCTGTCTGTCCGTCTGTCTGTCTGTCTCCTAGTCTGTGTGTCTGTGTGTCCGTCTGTCTGCCTGTGTGTCTGTCTGTCTGTCTGTCTGTCCGTCTGTCTGTCTGTCTCCTAGTCTATGTGTCTGTGTGTCTGTCTGCCTGCCTGTGTGTCTGTGTGTCTGTCTGTCTGTCTCTTTCTTTCTTTCTCTTTCGTTCTTTCATTCTTTCTCTGTCTAACATGTTTCTTTTTTTTTTTTTTCTTTCTTTTTTTCTTTCCTTTTTTCCTTCTTTCTTTCTTTATTTCTCTTTCTTATTTTCTTTCTTTCTTTCTTTCTTTCTTTCTTTCTTTCTTTCTTTCTTTCTGTGACTTTTTTTGTCTGTTTGTCTGTCTGTCTGTCTGTCTGTCTCCGAATCTGTCTGTCTGTCTGTCTATCTGTCTGTCTGTCTGTCTGTGTGTCTATCTGTCTGTCTGTCTGTATGTCTGTCTGTCTGTCTATCTGTCTGCACATGTGGTTAACAGGGACCCCCCAGTTTCAGTTCCTGGGTAACAGGTCCAAAACTGAAATCAGGCTTTGGGGGTGATATTTTATGTTTTTTTGGTTTTTTTTTTTTCCTGTCTTTGTCTTACTTCAAGGTTTTGGTGTTCCAAATTTGGTCTCATTTGGAGCATTGGAATTTCCTCTGATAAGGCCATTTCCAAAAACGCTGAAAATTCTGAAAATTCGCTGAATCCAAAATGTCATTCAAGTGCACTTTTGCCTTACTGTTTCACCCTGTTTTTTTTTTTTTCCCGTTTTTTTTCTAGTGGTTTGTTAATATGGTGTGCACTTTATGGAATGATGCAATTTTTGGTTAAAAAGGGCTTCTGGTTTTCTTATAAATAGCATTAAAAAAAACACTGAAATTTTGGGTCTCCGTTAACCGCCTCTCTCAGTCTGTCGCCTAGTCTGTTTGTCTGTCTGTCTGTCTGTCTGTCTGTCTGTCTGTCTATCTGTCTGTCTCGTAGTCCGTCTGTCTGTCTATCTGTCTATCTGTCTGTCTGTCTGTCTGTCTGTTTGTCCGTCTGTCTTTCTGTCTCCTAGTCTTTGTGTTTGTGTGTCCGTCTGTCTGCCTGTGTGTTTGTGTGTGTGTCTGTCTGTCTCTTTCTTTCTTTCTTTTTTGTTCTTTCTTTTTCGTTCTTTCTTTTTTTCTTTGTCTTACTTTTTTTTTTTTTTTTTTTTTTTTTTTTTTTTTTTTTTTTTTTTTTTTTTTTTTTTTTTTTTTTTTTTTTTTTTTTTTTTTTTTTTTTTTTTTTTTTTTTTTTTNTCTCTTTCTTTCTATCTTTTTTTTTCTCTTTCTTTCTTTCTTTCTTTTTTTCTTTTTTTTTTTCTTCCTGTCTGTCTGTCTGTTTGTCTGTCTGTGTGTCTGTCTGTCTGGTCTGTAGGTGGATGAACCAGAATCAAAGTCTGTAAGTTCAATGTCGTCTGTCTGTCTGTCTGTCTGTCTGTCCGTCTATTTGTCCGTCTATTTGTCTGTCTGTCTGTCTGTCTGTCTTTCCGTCTGTCTGTTTGTTAGTTTGTCTGTCTGTCGCCTAGTCAGGTCAGTCAGTTAGTCAGTCAGTCTGTCTGTTTGTCCACCTCCTTGTCGTCTACTCCCTCTCTTTGTGTACTACTAGTAAACGCATATGAATGAGCGTCGTTGAGAGAACAGACAAAATGTAATTACCCTTTTACTCTGCCTCCTTTTAAAACGTGCAAGTGGGCCGTAAAGGCACACGGGGATATGGGCAGCTGGTGCTCAACCATCATCAACGTGGCCAACCTAGTACGTGATAGGCACAGTAAGAGAGTAACTGCAAAAACAAAGAACATGGGAGGCCTCCCAATGCTGGTTGGTGAGAAAATAATCAAGAAAACGATGTAACATACTAACAAATGTACTGTGTCTCGTATTCTTTTTTATGTTGGGATGACCCATCTCGAGTGTGTTGCATTGCTTGTGTAAAGGTAAGATTCCTCGTCTGATTAAAGGTAAGGTTCTGAATAGATATTGACTTCGCAAGCAAAACTGTCTCATTAGTGGATTGGCTCATCTCGAGCATGCTTCATTGTCTGCAATATAGCTAAAGTTGCTCTGACTTTGGATCTACTCATCTGGGCGGAATAGAGGAAGTAGTGGTGATAATTTGTAACACACACACACACACACACACACACACACACACACACACACACACACATTCTGGCATGCACCCTTAAAGTTGGCTACTGCGTGCCAGAAACTGACGAATGATGACCGTTTCGACTTCGAATGGCACGCAGTAGCCAACTTGGGAAAAGACACACGCACACACCATTCATACACACACATCCATAGACATATACACAAAGACACACAGACATCCACATAGGCTCATACATAGACGCCATACACACACACACACACACACACACACACACACATACACACATACTCATGCACATAAAACCTATAAGAAATTATTATTATTATTATTATTATTATTATTATTATTATTATTATTATTATTATTATTATTATTATTATTATGTTTTTAGACACATATACATACACACATACACATATACACGTATATACAGACCCACAATGAATAGAATAAAAACACACTTACAAACACGCACATATGCATATAGTCATACATTTAGGCCCATAAAATAGAGTAAATAAAATATTACATACACACACCAACTCAAAACACACATACATACACGCGAAACTTACATATACAGACCCTTATAAAATAAACAAATACACAAAATAAACTAAGAAAGATGAACAGAGACCCGCACACGCACGCACACGCACACCCATAGGGCTTGAAAGACACACTGACACAAGCACAATAACACCACGAATAAGACAGAATCCCACGAACCACCCCCCCATAAAATAAAGAAACCCTGCATACGGCCCAATAAAGAAACGCGAAATGAGAACCCGTCACCTACAAAATAACCACAAGTAAGCATACCGACACAAAAGCTGAATCATACACCAGTACACCCCTGCACAAAAATGAAACATAGAAACTCATATATACGACAAAATCTTCCAAAAAAAACAAACTACTAGCACGAGCACACACTAATGGTAGACTTGAAAAACAACAGACGATGCCATAACCTGAACTAAAAACAAAAAGACAACCCGCCAAAACGTTATAAAATTGTAGACTGTCTGATATAATATAATAAAATAAAACGATCGAAGACACTAACAGACAAAAAAGAATTCTCGCCTAGCCAAAGGTATGCAGACCATCTGCTATAGACCCCATATCTGAGCTATAATCACAAAAATACACACACTAACCCCAACCCTCTCGGGCAAAACATATGCCTAGCGCACCGCACACGCGACCTATAGCACAAAACACCCCCCAGACACAAAAAAAATAATAAAAATAATAAAAATAATTATGCACGAACAGTAAAAATGTGTAGAACACCACGCACAGCCAACACCACCCCGCAGACCAACACAAACACACACCGCCTGCTTTTATACATGATGAGAGCACAAAATCCCTCCTCAGTCGTACGGCGTGTCTATGCCTCGACAAGCGCTCACGGAACCAACAAGGTTGCAAGATACTGGTACTTCGCTCTGAGATAGCTGCGACAGACCTAGTGCAAACTCATTCCTTGCACCGCATTCATCACTACTACCAAGCAAGGCAAAACCCCCGGGCACACGACGTGTCCAAGGTAGAGCCTTGGCTTGGCGCTGCGCTCCGAGACCGCGGTTAGATATTAACAGCAAGATATCGAACCAGCCCAACCTCTTTTGACAATATCAACAATCGCTTCAGACGGACATGTCACTAACGCAGACATCAACGCACACGAGGTAACCATCGCTCACCTTCCTCCAACCCCCATAACCCTCGGATGCCTTACCCCGCAACCCCCTTGACCTCGCATTATAGTACACACTTCTAAAAATATCCCAACACCCTCATCTACCTCCCACACTGCCATCCTAGTGCACCTTATTCTATCTCTCGTGTCCTAACGCTACCTAAGTCGCCCGTACTCATGCTGGTAATTGGTCCAACAGATGTAGAAGGCCACCTAGACTCACAGCGGATCCCTTCCCCCTCTCTAAACTCTCACCTCTCAATCTCGCATAGACTGCTAGAGTCGCCCCTACTCAACTGGTAATTGGTCCAGGTGATGTAGAAGGCCACGCTAGGATTATAGCCCATCATTCCCTCTGATGAGCCGTTTGGCGCAAACGGCGAAAAGCGCTTAAGAGATGCGCCACCCTCCTTCTTCAAATCTGGAAATCGGTCCTGTCAAAGAAGTGTCATCTTCTCCTAACCCTTTCTCCTCTTCCTGCCCCCACCTTAAAAGTTTTCGTCCCTTCCCCCATCCTTTCCCTTTTTTTCTTCTCCCCCCATGTATGCTTAGTGGTAAATGGCAATGTGAAAATAGGAAATGGATGGCTATGGCTGTAGGTGTACGAAGGTAACCCATGCAATGAAATAGCAGGAAACTTTTGCTCAATCGTGACAATGGTGTGCTATGTTATTCAATACTGTTCCTGGCTTAGACAGGTTGTTAAATTGCTTTGCATTTTGTCACACGAAACACACACATACACACACACACACACACACACACACACGTACACAAACACACAAACAGACACACACACAGCGTCACAGATACACACACGCGGATATGGGTGGAGAGAGAGAGAGTGAGAGAGAAAGAGAGAGAGAGAGAGAGAGAGAGAGAGAGAGAGAATCGTTGACGTCATTGTGCGTTTCCGCTAGCAGAGAGAAGAGGACGAAAGACAAACCGTACGCATCATGTCGATGTCAGTAGCACGGGTGGAGGCTGCTCTTGCAGAGGTAATGAAGTATGCAAAGGAAGGCGTCCACTACCAACGGTGACAGCGAGTTGTCTTTGCTTGAGGACAGGGTGCCGAGGTACTTTATAGTCGGTGTGGATATGAGATTCATGATCATGGCAAACGGCGCGGGCTGTGTCAAAGCACGAACACTCTTGCAAAGCTTCAGAGAGTCACCACATGTACGTGTGGACAGCGATGTGGAAGACAGTGCATACAGTCTAAAAGGAATGGTCCAGTGGATGTGCAGCGAAGGGATGTGCGAAGAAGGAGACGTAGACATGACAATGCAGCAGAAAAGGGGGACATATAAACCTGCGGATTTCAAGAAGTTGTTGGGCACTGTGGCAAGGAATGGGGAAATGCTTGTTGATGGGTCGAAGGAGGAGTTGAAGAGAGGTGCTGCAGAAATCTTGGTGTTGTCCAGAATGAAGAACATTACACAAACACCGTCAGAAGACTTTCAAGATGTTCTTGTCATTGTTCCAGATGGTGTGGAATATGTTCTGCTGGATCAACTTGTGGGCTTCGTGAAAAAGAGTGCCAACGACAGGAATGTTATCCATGAGGCGTTGCACGAAATCACGGAGTTTGCACTGCAAGGTCAAGATCAGATAGAATTTGTGCCAGCAAGAACAGAAGACAATATCATATATGACAGACCGTTGTGGGGGGAGTTATTATCAGCTGCTTTGGAGCGGCTCGGTCTTGCAAGTTGCGATGTTGAGAGACAAAGAGGAAGAGAAGAAGGGTGAAAGGTGGTGGTCAGGGAAACAAATTTAGCAATCATTCCAGACAACGGACAGACATCCGCAAAACAAGAATCAATAACCAGTATGGCAGTCGATGTGCCTCTCATGCACAAAGCAACGAGAGAGGAGCTAGTGTATTCCCATATCTTCAATGCTTTCACAATGGAGACAGAACAATGTGATCGTGGATTAGAAGAGGCCGATTTGCCAACTTGTTTTGCAGAGTACACACACAATGCAGAAGAAGAAGATGAAGAAGAGGATGAGGGGGCATCATCTTCTGACGTGGAAGTGAGCGGCAACGATGTCAGCAACAACGAGGAAGACGAGGAACATGATGTATACTATGATTTGAAGGGGGCGAGTGGACAAGTGACAAAAGGATGGGCACATGCAATTCTGAGGTTGGCACGTGCTTTTCCCAATCCGCACAAAGTGCTGCGTGTTGTGATGAAGGGTCCAACACCAAATGGTGCACTACAGTACGCGGCAGTGACCAATATAATGAAATCATGCAACAAGGGGAAAAAGTGGTCACGTGTTGGCAAGGGATGGTTTGTTCTGGTCAATAGAGAGGTTGTGCTAGCAACGTCACTGACATGGGGAGTTAACGTGAGTTGCCTCATACACTGCGCACTTGCGACAACTTGGGAAGAGACATTGCACCCCAACTTGTCAACAGGAGACGCAATAGTTAGTGCTCGACCACGGCAGCGACCGGAGACATACCCACACACCACGACAGACCATGTTAGACATCAGGGATGATGATAGGCATGCATAGCATAAAGCAATAGAGTGGTAGTACAAACAACCAGTACATCCCTCAACCTGTACATCCCTCAACCTGTACATCCCTCAATGTCTGCCTCAATTTCAACAACGGTCGGGTTCACTACTGCGTGCCGAATGAGTGTCCACCGGTGCTGTTTGTTGTCATTCTGGCCCGCAGTAGTGAACCTCTCTCTCTCTCTCTCTCATATGTCGAGTTGTAGCTATAGTAGAACCTATACATCCATCTGCGGGTTCTTTGTCATGCTGCCTGTTATTTGCCTCTCCAAGTACATGCGGTTCACTACAGCATGCAGACACAGGATTGAACAATATTTCAATCATTTGATGATTGTTACGATGTATGTCATAATTTGTTGCCTTTTGGAGTACGTGAGACACATCAGACCCCGTGTGATGACCAATGTGTGTATGTTGTGTTTTTTTTTGCATTCTCTGTAATTTACATTCAAATGTTCTAGGTTGTGAAATGTTTTGGAAGTGGTTGCGGAGGTCGTCTGAGGTGCCGGGGTGCAATCATTTTCACGCGGACATGAAAAACACATACCACATTCACAAACGTCCTGGATGGATAGTTGCGAACTTAGGCAGCCGCACAAACGTGGTGATGAATGTTGTGTCATATATCGTGTACCATGCGTAAGTCATTGCCTCTTCCAACACGACCATAAAACCTCTCATGGCATATAAATTATGGTGTCGCACGGTTAACTACTAATCTTTGTCAATTGGGATCAGTAACACAGATCATTCGTACCAAAAACGACAATCTGTACTCCCTCTCTATTTCTCTGTCACAGAGAAGTGGATGTGCAACACTTACGCAATATAACAAAATATGCTCTGCAACTTATAATTCAAACGACCTGAACCAATGTACAAAATGCTAATCAAAACATTGTCCGCACCACTCTATTTGTTTTTGGAATGCACTGCGTGCACAGAAAATAGACAGCGGTCCACGGGTGTGCGACTGTGGCAGGCCTTTCATGTCATTACGAGCTTTGAACTCACATCGTGCGAGGGCATGCCGGGCCGTAGCGGACGAAAGAACACATGGGCAGGAGATGGGTGTGGTCGATGACGTTGGACCATCAAGTATAGGTGCAGTGAATCTCGTGAGCAATGAGAGCGAGGACGTCGGGGCCCCAAAGAATGTAGACGTGGAGGGCGGGATATTCGAAGAGCAGCAACCGCAGCCTGTCGAGCCTTTTGACAGCTCTCGCAAGCTGGCGGCACTGATTTTCTTCGCCAGGGGCGGCGTCGGTATATCGCAGAGTGACATAGATGCTCTCTTGTCACTTCTCACACACCCGAGATTCAGCACGAGAGACATCGTGTATCGTAATAGTCGAGAGTGTTTGACATGGGCAGAGAGTCTAGCAGAGGCTGCTGGATGGAAAAAGTTGGATCTACGTTGTGAGGATTGGCCACGAGATGCGCACGCCATCTTGTGGCACCTCGATTGGCGAACGACATTTCTGTCGATTTTTCATATCGCATTACAGAAATGCGAGACGGTGTCTTCTCTAGAATTGTCCCTGCCGTCAGAGCACCTCCGTATATCCGGCCCACGCAACGGGGCGCTTAGTTATCTCATCCAGTCGATCATTCGAGCGGACAAAGCTGTGGACGGGAATGGTAATCCACGTTATGTTATCCCTCTTTCATTGTATTCCGACAAGACACATACAGACGGTCGTCAAAAACAGACGGCGTACACTTTGATGATGTCACTAGTCGACCACGCATCCGAAGCCATACTGCTGGCCTATCTTCCTATGCTTCATCATCGTCCACGTGACAAAGGATGGGTTCTGCAGTCCACCGCATTCAGAAAGCGAAAGACCATCATTTTCCACAAGGCCCTTACAGTGGTGTTGCAGTCTGCGAAGGAGGCATCTCATGGCAGAATAATGATACCGACAACGAGATTCGGGGACATAACTGTCCACCCTTTCCTCCTCAACTATATGCAGGACTACCTAGAACGATGTTTGATTGCAACTGTGAATTTTGGTGTATTTCCGACATGCACCGTGTCCAAAAACGACTTTGATGTCATAGCCGATTTCATAGACTATAGGAGATTACAGATGCTGGAAACACACCTCACAGCAAATGTGTTCACCGCCGATGACATCGATGTTCGCCGTGCAGCGGAAGCACGAATATCGGAGTTGAACATGCATAGGCATGTTCAACAGAACGGCCTTTGGGGGTTCTACAAGGGCCCCAATGCTGACGATCCTCAGCTAGACTACCACCTGGCATTGCAACCAGACCGTATGCACATAATCGAGCACGACATATTCCGGCACATGATTTACGCATTCAGGACCGCAACCTTTGAGCAGTTGCCGCACTTACCGCAAACAGAGACCCTGAAGGAACTAGATGCAAGGTTGCAAAGCATAAATGAGAGATGCACGCGAACATACCCCCAACTTGTGCTGCAGGTGGCCACTGGCAGCGACTTTTTTTCCAGGGAGGGACGGTTTGAGGCAAAGCAAAACCGTTATGTGATGACAGTGTGCGTGTCCCTTATTTCTAACTGTGTAGCATCATGTTCGCATTCGGTGACCGAACCCGAACGTTCGGGATCGAACGCGAATGAGCGCCGAAACTCTTCGAACGCGAACATAAAAAAAAAAAAAAAAAAAAAAAATTCTCAAAAAAGTCCTAGGTTGTTGGATCGGACGTCCGGGACCCCCCTGACCGGTCGTCTGGTCGGACGTCCGACCAGACAGGGGTTGTCCAACCTAGCGGAAAAAAAAAAAAAAAAAAAAAAAAAAAA